AATCTCCTCAGTAATGACAGTATCAAAACTTGAACGTGTACGCTTTCCACCTCATCGAAAAAGTGGAACTTCTTGCTCATTGACCACTCTCCTAAAACGCTCTCCAAAACAAGTGATAGATTCATACGCCCAAACAAATAGCACGTCCTTCAGACCGCTTATGGTGTATGTCATTACTTGTGGAAACATCTTAATATAGTCAACAAGAACTTCATATGCAGTCCGACCCCATGGATACGTCATCATGGCTTCATCATCGAATACTCTTTTTACACTTTCAAACGGTATCCTAGAATTATGATGCAAAGCATAAAGTCCCATGGCTTGAAGAAGTAACAGCCCTAACCGTTTACGCTTTTCAAAACTCCAGGCCGGACATACCTCTAATGTTGCCGTCAGTTCATCTAACTTGGGTCCTATCCCAAGCGGCAGATTCAACTCCTCCCAAAACGCTTTGTATTGGTCATGTTCAAAACTTTATGTTGGCACTGGACCTGTGTTTAACCCAGTGATCTCACCAAATTCGTGTAAGCTAAACCTGATAGGTTCATCACCAACTAGACTCCAAATCTCCTTCTTGTATAGTCGAAGCTGTCGACATAGTAGATAGTGGACAGTCCTACCAGACCACACGCTTTTGCGTTCAGCTAGCTTAACAATAATTCCAAGAGGACCCTGCTTCATGTGATCTCACACATCCCGTCCTATTGCTTCTCTGACGTTAGGGAAATCTCCCATCTGCAAATTGTGATTAATCTCTTTATTTTCTAGATTAGAAGCCCCTTCAACGTAAAGTCGTGGAGGATAATCCCGTGCTTGATCTTCAGAAATAGCTATCTGATCCTAAAACACATACATATAAATCAGCAGCAATAGAAACAAAACTCAGCCACAACATAATAAATAACCCAGCCACCATATAACGCAGTCGTAATAGAAACAAAACTAAGCCAAAACATAATCAATAAATCAGACAAAACATAATCAATAACTCAGCCAAAACATAATCAGTAACTCAGCCACAACATAATCTATAACTCAGCCACAACATAATCTATAACTCAGCCACAGTAATTAATAACTCAGCAAAAACATAATCAATAACTCAGCCGGATATAATCAATAACCCAGCCACAACATAATCTTTAACTCCGTTGAAATGGAAAACTATATTTTCACAACGTAAATCAAACTCAACTCAGTCACACTATACAATAACTCAGTTACAACATAATCTATAACTCAGTCACGTCGTAAATCAAACTCGGTCACAATATAAATCAAACTCAGCCACAACATACCAGAGAAGATGATGTCGACGAAGATGATATCAGAGATAATTTACAATATCAGAAACAGTACGATACGAGAGTATTAGTTGTGATGAAGATGATTTCGTACTCATTTAGGGTTTAACGGAAGTTGTGACGAAGTTGTGACATTATGAATTATTTTTTATTCACCGGAGATATGGGACTGTTCAATTTCCAATGTAACTGTTGATGACAAAAATTCGTGACGTGGATTGCCTAATTATGATGTGGATTTAATAATTAAAATTTATATCAATTGTAACAAAATTAAACAAGGGTGACTGTAATTTACTAGGAGTCCGAAAACATTATAATAATTTTTAGAAAATGTATGTTATTCTAGTAATATACCAACTTTTCTATAACATTCTAGTAATTTTCCCAAAATACAAATTGTACTACAAAACATGGTCTTGCCAAGATATACACTTGTGATTATATTCTTAGGAACATCATTATATAATTAGAAAGTTTCTGATATAAATTTTCTAAGATAATGATTTACATTAAGACAACTGTCCTAGATCTAACCTAGAAAATAAATATGAAATGTGAAGATAATGAATTAACCTGAGATTAATATCAAAAAAGATAACTGCAAAAGATAAAAAATAAAAGAAAATAAAGAATGATGAAATCATATGTGGCTTCAGAAGAGGAATCATTATGATAGATCATCTGCACATAAACCAAAATCAGAAGCAGAAACCAAAAAATTATGTGTATATAAAGTCTTATCATTCTAAAATATAATAAATTTAATAAATCCAAAACAGAAAAAATAACATCATAAAAATCAAGTGACTTTGTTTCTCTACTGTTAATGTCTTATATATAGTAAATTGGTAAATGTTTCTAAACGACATAGCTTTCACGAGAAAGTTTAAAATAAAATATTTTTAATCAATTTTCAAAAATATTATACTTATAAGGTAAGATTATTTTTGGAATATTTTGTTGATAAATGTAAAGGAGAATATTTTCTGACTGGATTGTACCAGAATTTTGGTTGACAAATTTCACTATAAAAATTAAATATTAAATACATGAAATTATGAAAGAAGATATTTTATCAGTTGATTTTGCAACAACTTTTTGAATGACATGTTCTATAACAAATATTTAAATTTTCAATAGCTATTAGAGAAAAATATAAATATTTAACAAATAAACATTGGTTTTATTTGTTGTTTACGTCATATGACTATTAAATTGAAAATAGAAGTCAAGAAAACTTACCAATACAATCCAGTGTTTGAAGGTTGATTTCAAATAGTTTAGATTCTTGTAGCGACTATTGTTCTCCATAGCTATTCCAATGAAATAAATATGTGACATTAAAATTATCATGATTAGATCTAACCTAGAAAATAAATATGAAATGTGAAGAAAATGAATTTATCTGAGATTTATAGAAAAAAAACAAATGTTTAGTTCGTCCCAAAAAAAAAGAAGACAAATGTTTAGTTCACAGAAGAAAACTAAAGAAAATGAAGATGATCAAGTCATAATCTGTAAGTTACAGAAGTTTGATTTTTTTTTTTACAAAATGCTGCAATCTTTACATCCTACAAAAAAAAATTTGAATAAGATATTGATTAGAAAATGACTTAAAAAAAAAAAATCAAACTTCTGTAACTTACATTTTTGTCAGCGAGGACCAACTATAATGTGTCGCCTCCATAACTGGTGTTTTGTTTCCACAATGAAGAACCTTAACGCGAATTTGCCAATTATCTCTATAAGGTTCAACACCGTTAAGGAATACAAAAGTGTTTGGTTTTGTCATTTTTTTATTGGAGGTGATAGTGAATGTTGAATGATGAATATGAGAATAACTATATATAAGCCTCATATTTTAGGTAGGGCGTCAAAACAAATATACTCTCCAACAATTCAGAAAACGAATTAATAATCTATAGTTAATACCAAATCAAGAGATTTAGTATCTAAGCGATATTTTAGGCAAAGTAGGTTGATTTGGAGAAGGGATAATTCCATAAAGGATTATATATATATATATATATATATATATCTGTCAAATTGTGCTTTATAATTAATACCAAATCAAAATTTTTAAATGTAACCGAGATTTTCTGCTTAAAAAGAATAAGAATATTCTGAGGATTTTCGTAAAGAATAAGAAGGTGAATTATAATTATGTTCCAAATAATGATAAGATACCAAATCATCACTAACTTCCTAAATAATAGATAACTTCCTAAACAATAGAGAAATATAATTAATTGCGTAAAGATTATATCAGACTAACAATAATATTATATCGTTATTAGACTATAGATTAATAATATGAGGTCCAACTTAAAAATCCACCTAGAAGAAGTTGTAATGTTTCTGTTTTAATAAGATAGATCATATTTTTGTAAACCAGTTCAATTATAAATCATTTATTTTTAAATTCTGTTGTTATTTTTATATAATTAACTAAAAATAAATAATTTAAATGTAAAAATAAAAAAAATAAAACTGAAATCAATATCGGAAATCAAATGCTATATAAAAAATATATAATAAAATGGAAATCGCTATCTAATTAAAATATACTGTAGCAGAAGCAAGTGCTATATAAAGTGATAGACCTATTATCGCGGCCTATGATACATCGTACCTAATACCGTTATGGTAGTGTTAGACAGCGTTTTCTCGGCGTAATGCATACTCGATTTTCTTGTAGTGGTTGCTGGTGGTCTAACCATTGAGAAGGTTCTAATTGACTCTAATGTAGGCATCATTTACTCTTCATATCACTAAGTTTTTAAAAAATTGTAGGCTTAATTTTCAGATTCTATGTTTCAATTTTTTTTAATATTCTACAGGGTGTTGAGATTATTGCTTCTATCAAAAAGGATCTGGTGAATGAGTTTGATTCATTTCTTTCACAAGGCTGTTCCAAGATTCTCATCAAATTTTCACTCAATGATTCATTAATACACGGTCCATTTTTATTAAGGTATGCTGGGTTTTAAACCTACAACAGTCCATTTTTATTAAAATTAGTTTGTGTATTTTCTTAATATCCATTTTTTAAAACAATAACATAGAAATAAAAAGATAAAAATCTCAATATCCATTCAAAAATCAAACTGTTTTACTTTATAAATTATACTAGATTAAGAGATTAAAATTAAATAAAAATAACTATTAAAAATCAATTATATAAAAACTAGGATAAATAAAATTTATATTATTAAACTCAATAAAAACAATTTTTATGAGTATACATATACATATTTTTATAGCATGTTTAACATATATGAAAGTTCAAACAACACAAATAATATTAGATTATCTTATGTAAAATACAGTCTTAAAACCCAAAAACAATGTGAAACCGAACTGATATCCAAATTAAACATAACTAATACTTCTTATCTTAAAAAGGTAAAATTATTAATCTCATCTCGCGCCTTTATTACGTAGTATTAAATTATTTAAATAGACGAGAGAATTAAACCAGATAGTTGAACCAAAATTGATTAAACCGGATAAATAACACAACAATACGTCACACATTAGGGAATGACGGTAGAAAAGAGAAAAGAGACGGTAGTACGCAGTGTTGCTTTATTATTTCGTTTTAGACGAAGGGAGATCAACAAAGACGTAAATCAACAGTAAATTCTTTCACACAACTTAAGATTGATCTTTTTCTAGCTTATATATCAGTCAGTTTGATGAACCATCATTGTTAGCCTTGCGCTCTTTCCTGAGCTTCAACTCCTCAGAGAGATCTTGTGCAAACCTGCATGGACAAATCTTCAAGCGATGTGAATGATAAATGAAACTCTCATAACAAGTTTTGAAACTTTGGATCACCTGAAGAGTTGTCTTTATAGGTGATTTTGCTCTCTTTAATAGGTTCATATTTATAAGTGTCCAGGTTCATACGTTTAACCTCGCTGTTGAGTAAATTATGTCCAATTTTCTCAAGACTTTTCAAGTTCTCCGTCATTGTAAGATCCATGGAGACATCGTCTTCGTCCAAATCATCGACCTGATGAGATAGATTTTCACATATAAACAGAATCTTGTAAATACAAATATAACCTACAAGATTTGAAAACCTCCACTTGCATGTATTTAAGAAAACGGTTCCGCGCATAAATGTTTAAGTATAGCTCGTATGTCGATTCTGACGTAATTATCCTCGGCACATAGGGCTTGGAACAGAACCGAGGTGTGGTATTGGGCCACACCCCGGCTGATTCAAAGATAACGTCTAATAAAGGAGTCGTTCTATCTTTTGCGTCGAACATCCAAGATAACACTCCCCATTTCGCAGCATCTTGGGCGTCGTACGTCTTCTTCGGACTTGCAGATCCTGTCCCTATGGAAATCACAAGAAACTTTTGATACTCTGACGGCCCTATGCCTTTCATTCCACCTTAAACCTCGCAGTTTATTTCTAAATCCTAATGTCTAGATTAATTAACCTAGAATATAAATATATATATATTTACTTCTTTTGATAAAATATTTAAATCTATTTTTGTTATTTTTATTTTTAAGATGTATGTATTTGTGACAATTTTTTTTTTTTGATATATCCAAGAATGTTTTTCTAACCCATGAAGTTACGATTTTCAGCAAGTATATGCATACTTCCGAGGGAGTGGCAAAGCTGCAGAGATGAAGCGGGAAGCTGCAAAATCGACATTGATGCGTGCACTATGAAGACAACACTTCTCACTGGAGAATGTACCAAACGGTGGCTTGAGGTCAAACCTTTAATTCTCCCCACAACATTTGTTACAACCCCTTTTATCTGAAAAGTTTAGGCTGGCAATTTATTTTGTTTGGAACACTTTGTAAAGACTAAATCAACTACATGAAGACCTCAAGGCAAAAGTGTGTGGTTTAATCTCTCAAAACTTTTGACTCAAAACCATTTCTTCATGAATGCTTAAAGCAAGATCCCTAAAGGGATATGAACCTTTATAGATTTCTAATGAGCATGAATCCATTGAGGTAACGTCCAAGCTTTGTGGTGAAGTGATCTCTCTCAGGTATGAATCGACGATTGATGAAAAGCCTGAGATTTTTGGTAGCAGGCCTGAGGGTATTGGAGCGAGCTCGGTCATAATTGAGGTAAAGCCTGAGATTTGTGATGCAAATTTTGACGGTGTGGATGAACCAGCTGTGAAAGAGTCAGAACTTGTTGTTTCTAAGCCAATGGAAGATGGGACTGGGTCTGTCGCTTGTCTCACCATGAATTTGGATGAACCAGAGTTGAAGAGAACAGATTTGGGTTAGCTTCTTCTATAGAAGTAGGGTTGGAGATGGTTAGTTTGACGGTGGATGATGAGGAGAAGGGGGAAAGTAGTTCTGCTGAGTCTAAGAGCGAAACCTCTAGCTCTTCTTCCAGCTCTAGTGCTAGTAGCAGCAGTGAAGAAGAAGAAGAAGAAGAAGATGAGAGTGACGAGGAAGAAAGTAATAAGGAAACGAAGTTTGAGGATCATGTGGTCATGGGGAAAGAGAATGATATGGAAGGAGGACTTGAAGAAGGCGAGATACAGAGTGTAGATGAGGAACATGAGGTTGAAGATGATGATGATGATGACGATGAAGTGGATGAGATGGTTGCTTGGAGCTATGATGAGGATGAGGACCTTGGTTGTCAAACGAAAGAGCCTATAAGGACAAAGAATGAGCTCAAGGTACCTATCCTTCAGCATTTCACATTTCATAATTATAGCTTTTGGTGGTGGTGCTATTTTTATTCACTACAAGAAAATTGAGTATTCATTGCGACGGAAAAAGCCTATTGTACGATACCATAGCGTTATTAGGTACGCTGTATCATCGGCCGCGATAATAGGTTTGACACTTAATATAGCGCTTTATGCTTCCGCTACAGTATGTTTTAGTTAGATAGCACTTTCCGTTTTGCTATTTAAATTCTTTAATATAGCAGTTGTATTTCGTTATTGATCTCATGTCATATATTTTTACAGAATTTTTTTGTAGCGTTTATATTTCCAATTAATTTAAATCCGCAGTATACAAAAAAAAAATATTAAAATGAAATTTAATAATTAAAACTAATTTATTAAAATTATAAGTCTACAGTTCCATTTGACATTCAAGTACAACAAAGATCCAACAACACAAAC